CATTAAAGCAGGTTACGGAATCTACATAGGTTATCCCGATGGATCTGTTGAAGAGATTTTTGATGCATGCGGGGAATTCTGTTCAAACTATGAAGCTGAAATAATTGCACTGGAAACAGCAGTATACCACCTAAAGACTGTAATGGATGTTTACCCCTCAAAGGTCCAAAATATTGTCATCTTCACAGATTCAATGTCTGCCCTTCAAGCTCTGGAGGGCAATGAACGCTGCAGAACTGACATAGCCAAGATAATCCTGGATGCCGATCATCTTATTACCTCATACAACATCAGAATAGTGATGCAGTGGATTCCAGGTCACTCCGGCACACCAGGTAATGACAGAGCTGACAGATTGGCAAAGAAAGGAGCAACACAAGAACAACCACCTACAGCGACAACCCTCCAGACAGCAAAAACACTGATAAGAGCTATAAACAAAGAGACTTGGTTGAACAGATGGGCCATGGGAGACACTGGAAGAGAGGTTTATAGACATATGTCTGGCCCTGATCCTAATGACAGCATTAACCATCTAACAAGAAGGGACCAGGCCACCATCTTCAGACTTAGAACGCAACATACTCCACTCAATGGACACCTAAACAGAATACAGCCACAACACTCCCCAGAGTGCCAGCTATGTAACTACCCCTACGAAACTGTTGAACACCATCTCTTTGAGTGCCCAAAACTCAGTGAGACAAGAAGAACGCTACTCCCTCCGAGACCAGACAAGTGGAACACCTTGTACGGAGGAAAAGAACAGCTTGTGAAAACATGCAAATTCCACTACATGGCATTGGGCCAAAGGGCGAAAGCTCATGCGCCGCTGGATCGATAACAACAACAACAACAACAACTAATGTCATCATTCATCAGTTCTTTAATGTCATCATTCATCAATTTTCTAATGTCATCATTTATCAGTTCTCTAATGTCATCATTCATCAATTTTCTAATGTCATCATTCAACATTTCTCTGTTATCATTGATCAGTTCTCTGATGTCATCATTCATCAATTCTCTGACGGTATCATTTGTCAATTCTCTGACGGTATCATTTATCAGCCTGAGCTTAAGTGTTCTCTACTTGCTATTATTTATTGACTTTAATCACAACTGACAGGGCTGCTGATATTCTGCTTCAATCAAAACTAGAGATAAGTGAACAAGTGCCTTCCACATTCAGCTCAACTCTCAGTTATGAACCAACTCTTGTTGACCTTGAGGTTAGTGAAGTTGTGTGTTTCAACCTTGACCATACAGTCAGTTCATTGTTGTGTTTGTGAAAACTATTTTCTTTAACTCTTTCAGTCCCAGGGAACACACCATGTGTTCACAAGTTCCTACTTAGAAGCCCAATGAATGCCAGATGCTCTGATTTTACATCTCTGTTTACTGCCCCTTGGGTCTCTAATGCTAAACCCCCTGCCACTGAAAAAGTGAATTTGCTGTGTGTGATCAATTATGGGGAAGTTGACTGTGAGCAGATTATTGATAATATTGTGGACAGAGAAGAATGACAATATCATGGATTGAGAAGAATGTTGAAAATATCATGGATATAGAAAAATGCTGACAATATCATGGATATAATATAGAAGAATGCTGACAATATCATGGATAAAGAAAAATGCTGACAATATCATGGATATAGAAGAATGTTGAAAATATCATGGATAGAGAAGAATGCTGACAATATCATGGATAGAGAAGAATGCTGACAATATCATGGATAGAGAAGAATGCTGACAATATCATGGATAAAGAAGAATGCTGACAATATCATGCTTAGAGAAGAATGCTGACAATATCATGGATAGAGAAGAATGCTAACAATATCATGGATAGAAAAGAATGTTGACAATATCATGGATAGAGAAGAATGCTGACAATATCATGGATAAAGAAGAATGTTGACAATATCATAGATAAAGAAGAATGCTGACATTAGTCCCAAAATAACCGCCGCTCAATATTGGAGCTGGTTAGGGTGACAGGAACTTTTATTTTTTTTCAAACAAATCGGAATCGTATATATACTACTAATCACAATCTACTTACGTCCTTTTTAGGACGTAATTTTTTGTTATTAGAAGCCCCACTCTGGCGTTTGCCAGGGGCCACAATATAGGCAGGCCATCGAAATGGCCAATTGTCTGAACGCGGTTTCTGGGACCTCTCCATGGTGATCCTCATCCGCATGGTGGCACTTTGTGTCATCAGGTGTTTATCGCTTGTGTGATGTCCTGGTCGGGTAGAAAGTCAGTCAGTCAGTCAGTATAATATACTCTTAACTCATTTAGCCCTACTCATTTGGGATGCAATTTTTCTTTATTATTAGCCACACTCTAGCTTTTGCCGGGGGCCCTATAGCCTAAAGGTTGAATATGGTTTCCGGGACCTTTCCACAGATGATCCTTATCCTTATGGTGGCACTTTGTGTCACAGGGTGTTTATCACTCTGTGTGATTTCCTGATGGGGCACAACTTTCACATATATACTCTAAGAACTCCATGAGCACTGTATATTCCAGTTATAAGCCTGGAGTTTGAACAGAATATTTTTTTGACAATTTCTACTACTTAACTTCGACACTGAATGAGTCCAATATGAGGTAAAGGTAGATAACTCAGTTTTTTAGGACAGCTTTCTGTTGACTGAGAATTCTGACCCTTGGATCTCTACAGATGTTGGGAAGTTGTCTGTAGTTCTGATTCTTGGATCTCTACAAATGTTGGGAAGCTGTCTGTAGTTCTTACCCTTGGATCTCTACAAATGTTGGGAAGTTGTCTGTAGTTCTGACCCTTGGATCTCTACAGATGTTGGGAAGTTGTATGTAGTTCTGACCCTTGGATCTCTACAAATGTTGGGAAGTTGTCTGTAGTTCTGACCCTTGGATCTCTACAGATGTTGGGAAGTTGTCTGTAGTTCTGACCCTTGGATCTCTACAAATGTTGGGAAGTTGTCTGTAGATCTGACCCTTGGATCTCTACAGATCTTGGGAAGTTGTCTGTATGGTGCATGTTGTGTAGCACTGGTCAGTTTTCCTATATGGATGTATGCCATATCATGAAGTTGTCTCATAAATGCTCTCCTTTTATTCTCTCTGCTCCTCTTCCTCAACAACATTTCTCTACCAGATTCCCAGTTTTACCCTTCTCATGAATTTCCCAAAGAATGTGGATTGGTCTCTTCTGGTGTGGGCACTCATTTCTTTTTGTGAGTTAGTTTTAGAGCAGTGTTTGTAATGTGTCTGCTTCTCATTGTCATCCAGTGTTTGTAATCTACCTGCTTCTCATTGTCATCCAGTGTTTGTAATGTGGCTGCTTCTCATAGTCATCCAGTGTCTGTAATGTGGCTGCTTCTCATAGTCATCCAGTGTTTGTAATGTGGCTGCTTCTCATTGTCATCCAGTGTTTGTTATGTGGCTGCTTCTCATTGTCATCCAGTGTTTGTAATGTGGCTGCTTCTCATTGTCATCCAGTGTTTGTAATGTGGCTGCTTCTCATTGTCATCCAGTGTTTGTAATGTGGCTGCTTCTCATTGTCATCCAGTGTTTGTAATGTGGCTGCTTCTCATTGTCATCCAGTGGTAGGCCTACAGTGGACCATTCCCTATGGCATCCAACATAAACAGAGACCAGGCACAGTTCTGTTACAGGTGGGCTGTCATAAGCCACTGGGGTCATGTCTACTAGTGGGTTCATGTCTAATATGTGGTTATGTCTACTACTGGGTCATGTCTACCTGTGGTGTCATGTCTAATATGTGGTCATGTCTACCACCAGGTCATGTCTACCATTAGGGGTCATGTCTACCATTGGGGGTCATGTCTACCATTGGGGGTCATGTCTACCTGTGGGGTCATGTCTACCACCAGGCCATGTCTACCATTGGGGTCATGTCTACCATTGGGGGTCATGTCTACCATTGGGGGTCATGTCTACCTGTGGGGTCATGTCTACCATTGGGGGTCATGTCTACCTTTGGGGGTCATGTCTACCATTGGGGGTCATGTCTTCCATTGGGGGTCATGTCTACCATTGGGGGTCATGTCTACCATTGGGGGTCATGTCTACCATTGGGGGTCATGTCTACCTGTGGGGTCATGTCTACCACCAGGTCATGTCTACCATTGGGGGTCATGTCTACCATTGGGGGTCATGTCTACCATTGGGGGTCATGTCTACCTGTGGGGTCATGTCTACCATTGGGGGTCATGTCTACCTGTGGGGTCATGTATACCTGTGGGGTCATGTCTACCATTGGGGGTCATGTCTACCTGTGGGGTCATGTCTACCATTGGGGCAATGTCTACCATTGGTGTCATGTACACAATTAGGGTCATGTCTACCATTGGGGGTCATGTCTACCATTGGGGGTCATGTCTACCATTGGGGGTCATGTCTATCTGTGGGGTCATGTCTACCATTGGGGTCATGTCTACCATTGGGGTCATGTCTACCATTAGGGTCATGTCTACCATTGGGGTCATGTATACCTGTGGGGTCATGTCTACCTGTGGGGTCATGTCTACCTGTGGGGTCATGTCTACCATTGGGGCTATGTCTACCATTTGCTCACTCATATCTTCCAACTCTGAAATTGCCTACTAATGAACTTGATGACAGTTTATATTTGTCCACAGTTTTCTGTCTGTAGAATGTTTTCTGCTTGTCCACAGTTTTCTGTCTGTAGAATGTTTTCTGCTTGTCCACAGTTTTCTGTCTGTAGAATGTTTTCTGCTTGTCCACAGTTTTCTGTCTGTAGAATGTTTTCTGCTTGTCCACAGTTTTCTGTCTGTAGAATGTTTTCTGCTTGTCCACAGTTTTCTGTCTGTAGAATGTTTTCTGCTTGTCCACAGTTTTCTGTCTGTAGAATGTTTTCTGCTTGTCCACAGTTTTGTATTTGCCTGAGACTTGTTTGTTTGTTTATTCGCAGGCACAACTTGATCAAGTCTCACTGGAGTTATCAGAAATCACAAAAGAACAGAGCAGCATACGCAGCGCCCTTCGTGTCCTCCTGGAATCCAACGATCATCAGCAGATGAGAAAACTGACCGCAGAGATGGACATTCTCAATGACAGACAGACAGCAATGATAAAACAAAGACAGAAAATCAAATATAGAATTGCTAAGTAGGTTGCATTTTTTTCTTGAAAAAATTCTCTTTTGGATAATCAGTCTTTCCCCTAAGATTCCACATTTTTTACTGAAACTGAATGATGGGCATAGATTATTTCAATAGGAATTACAGTGAATATTGCTGATCAGTAAACATATCAAATGGCAAACTGTCAGAAAACAAAGATAAATAAATGCAAGATGCATCTACTAGCAAGCTTAGTGAACTGAGAAAAGAAAAAATAAACAGACTCAGACGACCAAAATCTTTATCAGAAAAAAAAGAAGGACTATTTAGTTACTAGAAATTATTCAAACCAACTTCACTAAAGGCAAATTGACATGTGAATAGTCTTTGGTGGGGATTTCTATAATTTCTACACAATTCTGTTGTGGTGACCTTTCACTTTTCCTTCAAAATTGCCACCAAAGTTTTGACACTCTTAAAACAGCAGGAATCAATGGATATAATTGTTTAAACATACATATTTAAAGAGCTCATGTGTGTTGAAGTTTTTAGTTGTGTGAGCATTTATGTGTGTTGAAGTTTGTACCTGTGTCAAAAGTCCTGGGTGTTGAAGTGTGTAGTTGTGTGAAAGATAGTGGGTGTTGAAGTTTGTAGTTGTGTGAAAAGTAGTTGGTGTTAAAGTGTGTATTTGTGTGAAATATAGTGGGTGTTTAAGTTTTTAGTTGTGTGAAAGGTAGTGGGTGTTAAAGTTTGTAGTTGTGTGACAGGTAGTGGGTGTTAAAGTTTGTAGTTGTGTGAAAAGTTGTGGGTGTTAAAGTTTGTGGTTGTGTGAAAGGTAGAGGGTGTTAAAGTTTGTAGTTGTGTGAAAGGTAGTGGGTGTTAAAGTTTGTAGTTGTGTTAAAGGTAGTGGGTGTTAAAGCTTGTAGTTGTGTGAAAGATAGTTGGTGTTAAAGTTTTTAGTTGTGTGAAAGGTAGTGGGTGTTAAAGTTTGTAGTTGTGTGAAAGGTAGTTGGTGTTAAAGCTTGTAGTTGTGTGAAAGGTAGTTGGTGTTAAGGTTTGTAGTTGTGTGAAAGGTAGTGGGTGTTAAAGTTTGTAGTTGTGTGACAGGTAGTGAGTGTTAAAGTTTGTAGTTGTGTGAAAAGTTGTGGGTGTTAAAGTTTGTAGTTGTGTGAAAGGTAGTGGGTGTTAAAGTTTGTAGTTGTGTGAAAGGTAGTGGGTGTTAAAGTTTGTAGTTGTGTGAAAGGTAGTGGGTGTTAAAGTTTGTAGTTGTGTGAAAAGGTAGTTGGTGTTAAAGTTTGTAGTTGTGTGAAAGGTAGTGGGTGTTAAAGTTTGTAGTTGTGTGAAAGATAGTGGGTGTTAATGTTTGTAGTTGTGTGAAAAGTAGTTGGTGTTAAAGTTTGTAGTTGTGTGAAAGGTAGTGGTTGTTAAAGTTTGTAGTTGTGTGACAGGTAGTGGTTGTTAAAGTTTGTAGTTGTGTGAAAGGTAGTGAGTGTTAAAGTTTGTAGTTGTGTGAAAGGTTGTGGGTGTTAACATTTATTGTTGTGAGAAAGGTAGTGGGTGTTAAAGTTTATAGTTGTGTGAAAGGTAGCGGGTATAAAAGTTTGTAGTTGTGTAAAAGTTTATGTGTGTTGAAGTTTGCAGCTGTGTGAAAGGTCATGGGTGTTAAATTTTATAGTTGTGTAAAAAGTCATTGGTGTTAAAGTGTGTAGTTGAGTGAAAGGTAGTGGGTGTTAAAATTTGTAGTTGTGTGAAAGGTAGTGGGTGTTGAAGTTTGTAATTGTGTGAAAGGTAGTGGTTGTTAAAGTTTGTAGTTGTGTGAAAGGTGGTGAGTGTTAAAGTTTGTAGTTGTGTAAAGGTAGCGGGTGTTAAAGTTTATAGTTGTGTGAAAGGCAGTGGGTGTTAAAGTTTATAGTTGTGTGAAAGGTAGCGGGTGTAAAAATTTGTAGTTGTGTAAAAGTTTATGTGTGTTAAAGTTTGCAACTGTGTGAAAGGTCATGGGTGTTACATTTTGTATTTGTGTAGAAGGTCATGTTATAAAGTATGAAGCTGTGTAAAAACTCATGTGTGTTAAAGTTTGTAGCTGTGTGAAAACTCATCGGTCTTAAAGTATGTAGCTGTGTAAAAACTCATGTGTGTTAAATTCTGTAGCTAGGTGAAAACTCATGTGTGTTAAAGTTTGTAGCTGTGTGAAAACTCAAGTGTGCTAAAGTATGGAGCTGTGTGAAAACTCGTGTGTGTTAAAGTTTGTAGCAGTGTGAAAACTCATGTGTGTTAAAGTTTGTAGCTGTGTGAAAACTCTTATTTGTTAATTGTTACATTTAAGGTGCCATAAGAGTGTGCCAGTTATCTCCTTGCCACCAGACAATTTTGCTTTGAGTTTGTTCTGTTCTGCTATACCAGGTAGACACAGACCCACATCCCTACCAGGTAGACACAGATCCACATCCCTACCAGGTAGACACAGATCCACATCTGTACCAGGTAGACACAGACCCACATCTCTACCAGGTAGACATGGACCCACATCCCTACCAGGTAGACACAGACCCAAATCCCTACCAGGTAGACACAGACCCACATCCCTACCAGGTAGACACAGACTCACATCCCTACCAGGTAGACACAGATCCACATCCCTACCAGGTAGACACAGATCCACATCCCTACCAGGTAGACACAGATCCACATCCCTACCAGGTAGACACAGATCCACATCCCTACCAGGTAGACACAGACCCACATCTCTACCAGGTAGACACAGACCCACATCCCTACCAGGTAGACACAGATCCACATCTCTACCAGGTAGACACAGACCCACATCTCTACCAGGTAGACATGGACCCACATCCCTACCAGGTAGACACAGACCCACATCCCTACCAGGTAGACACAGACCCACATCCCTACCAGGTAGACACAGACTCACATCCCTACCAGGTAGACACAGACCCATATCCCTACCAGGTAGACACAGACCCACATCCCTACCAGGTAGACACAGACCCACATCCCTACCAGGTAGACACAGATCCACATCCCTACCAGGTAGACACAGATCCACATCCCTACCAGGTAGACACAGATCCACATCCCTACCAGGTAGACACAGACCCACATCCCTACCAGGTAGACACAGACTCACATCCCTACCAGGTAGACACAGATCCACATCCCTACCAGGTAGACACAGATCCACATCCCTACCAGGTAGACACAGATCCACATCCCTACCAGGTAGACACAGATCCACATCCCTACCAGGTAGACACAGACCCACATCTCTACCAGGTAGACACAGACCCACATCCCTACCAGGTAGACACAGATCCACATCTCTACCAGGTAGACACAGACCCACATCTCTACCAGGTAGACATGGACCCACATCCCTACCAGGTAGACACAGACCCACATCCCTACCAGGTAGACACAGACCCACATCCCTACCAGGTAGACACAGACTCACATCCCTACCAGGTAGACACAGACCCATATCCCTACCAGGTAGACACAGACCCACATCCCTACCAGGTAGACACAGACCCACATCCCTACCAGGTAGACACAGATCCACATCCCTACCAGGTAGACACAGATCCACATCCCTACCAGGTAGACACAGATCCACATCCCTACCAGGTAGACACAGATCCACATCCCTACCAGGTAGACACAGATCCACATCCCTACCAGGTAGACACAGACCCACATCTCTACCAGGTAGACACAGACCCACATCCCAACCAGGTAGACACAGATCCACATCCCTACCAGGTAGACACAGATCCACATCCCTACCAGGTAGACACAGACCCACATCCCTACCAGGTGGACACAGACCCACATCCCTACTAGGTAGACACAGACCCATATCCCTACCAGGTAGACACAGACCCATATCCCTACCAGGTAGACACAGACCCATATCCCTACCAGGTAGACACAGACCCACATCCCTACCAGGTAGACACAGACCCACATCCCTACCAGGTAGACACAGACCCATATCCCTACCAGGTAGAAACAGACCCTTTCAAAGTGAGACAGGCACATGAAGAGGATCGAACCCCAGACACTCTAGCTAAAGGTCTCCATTTGGATCAGTATATGTGTAACTGTATGACAAATTCATTCTTATATTTAATACACAAACAAATTTACACTTTTATTCAACCCTCAGATATTCTACAACAGATTCAGGTTTATACACTCATACATTTTACAACAAATTCACACATATTCAGTACTCAAATATGTTACAACAGATTCACACTTATATTGAATACTAAAATATTTTAGAACAAATTTACACTTAAACTCAATACTCAGTTATTTTACAAATTCATACTTATATGCAACACTGAGAGATTCTACAACATATTAACTCTTTGAGTCCCAGGAAACGTATCATACGTTTATAGGTTCCTATAAATGAACATCAGTCTTAATAGTGTTCTTGACAGAGCTCATCAACAAACATTACATCTCCCCCCGACACTTCGATGAGGTACAAGGTGGAAGAGAAGAAGAAGAAGAAGAACATAGGTTCCTACCTAGAAGCCCAATGAACGCATGATGCACCGATTTTAGTCTCTCTTTACTACCCATTGGGCCTGTGATGCTAAACCCCCTGGGACTCAAAGAGTTGATGACCATAGAAAGTAACTCTTGCCCCTTGTGTTTCAGAATGCTACGAACACGGATCTCTGTTACATGAACAATTATCAACAAATTTCACCAATAATATTGCTCAAATCGCTGACAGTGGTTGCTGTGGTTACAGTCATGTGGTGCTACCTGGTAGTCCACTCATCACACCATGTACCTGGCAGCACTGCAGAATCAGAAACAGTCAAACAATCTGGCATGTCAGACTTTGCTGAAGAACTCACAGGTCTGAAATCAGCCACAGAAAATCAAGAGGATTCTGGAAGCAAGCTATCACCAAAGGCCCTTCTGACCTTGGAGTGTCCACCTCATTCAGCTGATTCTGTTGCATTTACATCTTCATGTTCAGTTGTCAGGACACCTTCACCTTCATTATTTTTGGAATATTCAATGCCAGAATGTAGGCTGTACCAGGGTTTCTCACCATGTTTGCAAGCCACTGCCAGCCAAGAGTTAGGGCCCCAACAAATATCAGAATGTCAACACTGACTGTCAGGTGTGACAACAAACTTGGTGCCTGTTAGTCCTGCAGACATAAACACACGACCAGCATCTGCCCATCTGCAAAACTATATCTACATGTCACTGGAGGACAAGAAAACCATTACAGATGAATGGAGACATGTCCTGATCCCCCAGACTTGGGTGGAAGCAGAGACAATTGTTCCACACAGAGAATGAAGACAGATGTACACCTCAACCAGTAATCAGAAACAAGCATACCTGAGATGGCAACCTCAAGAACAAGCAGTCAGATGAGCACAGACACATGAACAAACTTGTGTGCAGTAGCAGCAACAGCAGAAACCGTTTAGATAACAACTTTAGGATGTTCTCTGTCTTATCATCAACAGCAACACTGACATTATCTGCTACTGTCTAAACATCCACTTAGTGCCAGCAATCAACCAATCAGTCAGTGGGCAGTTGTGTGCACAAGGAACCAGTCAGTGGGCTGTTGTGTGCACATGGAATCAGTCAGTGGGTTGTTGTGTGCACATGGAATCAGTCAGTGGGCTGTTGTGTGTACATGGAACCAGTCAGTGGGTTGTTGTGTGCACATGGAATCAGTCAGTGGGCTGTTGTGTGCACATGGAATCAGTCAGTGGGCTGTTGTGTGCACAAGGAATCAGTCAGTGAGTTGTTGTGTGCACATGGAATCAGTCAGTTGGGTGTTGTGTGTACATGGAACCAGTCAGTGGGGTGTTGTGTGTACATGGAACCAGTCAGTGAGGTGTTGTGTGTACATGGAACCAGTCAGTGGGCTGTTGTGTGTACATGGAATCAGTCAGTTGGGTGTTGTGTGTACATGGAATCAGTCAGTTGGGTGTTGTGTGTACATGGAACCAGTCAGTGGGGTGTTGTGTGCACAAGGAACCAGTCAGTGGGGTGTTGTGTGTACAAGGAATCAGTCAGTGGGCTGTTGTGTGCACAAGGAATCAGTCAGTGAGTTGTTGTGTGCACATGGAATCAGTCAGTTGGGTGTTGTGTGCACATGGAATCAGTCAGTGGGCTGTTGTGTGCACATGGAATCAGTCAGTGGGCTGTTGTGTGCACATGGAATCAGTCAGTGGGCTGTTGATTGCACACATGGAATCAGTCAGTGGGCTGTTGATTGCACACATGGAATCAGTCAGTGGGGTGTTGTGTGCACATGGAATCAGTCAGTGGGGTGTTGTGTGCACATGGAATCAGTCAGTGGGGTGTTGATTGCACACATGGAATCAGTCAGTGGGGTGTTGTGTGCACATGGAATCAGTCAGTGGGCTGTTGATTGCACACATGGAATCAGTCAGTGGGGTGTTGATTGCACACATGGAATCAGTCAGTTGGGTGTTGTGTGCACACAAAATCAGTCAGTGGGGTGTTGTGTGCTATGGAATCAGTCAGTGGGATGTTGTGTGCACATGGAATCAGTCAGTGGGATGTTGTGTGCACATGGAATCAGTCAGTGGGATGTTGTGTGCAACAAACAAACAAACTTTATTTTCAAAGGGTCACAAATTGGGCACAAAGGCCTGTCTTATATTCGGCCCTTCCAATCAACCATCTTTCGCACAGCAGTTGTATTTTACTAATAAAGCATGTTATGATCATATGATGCTATGCATATTATAAATATTATAAAAGAACACAAAAGTATGAGTTGCAAAGTGCATGCAAAAACCCGCACGTGCATACATACACCCACATACACACGCTCACCCACTAACTTACACACACATACATGCATGCATACATTACATACATACATACATACATACATACAGGCATACATACATACACACATACATACAAACAAACATGCATACAGGCATACACACATACACACAGACATACATACATACACACAAACATACATACATAGATAAAAACATACAGGCATACATACATACATACATTCATACATACATACATACGTAAGACAGGCATACACACATACAAACATACAGTCATAAATACAGTCATGCATGGAGACACACACATGCACACATGGACACTCCCACAGAGACACACACACTCAGACAAAAATACAGACACACACACAGACACTTACATTTAAACACACACAAGGAAACACACAGCACACATATTTACATTCATGCTCACACACTGACACACACACACACACATACGCAGACAAACATGCAGACACATACATACAGCCACATAGACACACACGCAGTCAGCACTAGTGTACAGTGAGGGGTGGTTATGAGGCGTGAGGGGTGGTTATGAGGGGTGGTTATGAGGCGTGAGGGGTGGTTATGAGGGGTGGTTATGAGGCGTGAGGGGTGGTTATGAGGCGTGAGGGGTGGTTATGAGGGGTGATTATGAGGCGTGAGGGGTGGTTATGAGGGGTGATGGGTGGTTATGAGGCGTGAGGGGTGGTTATGAGGCGTGAGGGGTGCACATGGAATCAGGTGAATTAAGCCAGCCCACAGCTGCTGGATATTTGAGTTGTTTCATCAGAATGTGCTCTGTGATCTACAACCATGCACTTCAGTGGAGCCCATGACATACTGTAGTTAGATGTGTTCTCAGATATTCTACCTTTCACAGAGTCAGACAAAGCTCTGCCAGCATCACCTGGTGGTTGTTGATCATTGAAGGTCCACACTCACCATGGAGACAACTCCATACAAGTTCCTTCTTATAGTGGCACAAAGCCTAGGGCCTTATGTAAGTGATGAACAAAAAAATAGGGCACAAACTCTGGGGCACTATGACTATGATAACAAGTCTGGGGCACTATGACTATGATAACAAGTCTGGGGCACTATGACTATGATAACAAGTCTGGGGCACTATGACTATGATAACAAGTCTGGGGCACTATGACTATGATAACAAGTCTGGGGCACTATGACTATGATAACAAGTCTGGGGCACTATGACTATGATAACAAGTCTGGGGCACTATGACTATGATAACAAGTCTGGGGCACTATGTCTATGATAACAAGTCTGGGGCACTATGACTATGATAACAAGTCTGGGGCACTATGACTATGATAACAAGTCTGGGGCACTATGACTATGATAACAAGTCTGGGGCACTAGGACTATGATAACAAGTCTGGGGCACTATGTCTATGATAACAAGTCTGGGGCACTATGACTATGATAACAAGTCTGGGGCACTATGTCTATGATAACAAGTCTGGGGCACTATGACTATGATAACAAGTCTGGGGCACTATGTCTATGATAACAAGTCTGGGGCACTATGACTATGATAACAAGTCTGGGGCACTATGACTATGATAACAAGTCTAGGGCACTATGACTATGATAACAAGTCTGGGGCACTATGTCCATGACACAACATCTAGGGCAGCAGTGAAGATCCAGCTGTGTGTACATTAGAACCATGTATGCTTTAATATTGTATTTATGAGTAAGTGTGTTTATGTTTGAATGATCCATTGGCAGGTGCTTATTTGCCCACACTTTTTGATGTGCTCATGTTGGGAGATATGTGATGTGCTAATGTTGGGAGATATGTGATGTGCTAATGTTGGGAAATATTTGATGTGCTGATGTTGGGAGATATGTGATGTGCTGATGTTGGGAGATATGTGATGTGCTGATGTTGGGAGATATGTGATGTGCTGATGTTGGGAGATAATTGATGTGCTGATGTTGGGAGATAATTGATGTGCTGATGTTGGGAAATATTTGATGTGCTGATGTTGGGAGATATTTGAAGTGCTGATGTAGGGAGATATGTGATGTGCTGATGTGCGGAGATATGTGATGTGCTGATGTTTGGATATATTGGATGTGCTGATGTTGGGAGATATGTGATGTGCTGATGTCGGGAGATATTTGATGTGCTGATGTTGGGAGATATTTGATGTGCAGCAAGTGTGTATATGGCGTTCTAACTTCATCCTGATGTGAGTAGACTAGGTGTCTGTGACACTACCTTAGGATCAGGGAAGCAATTATTTCTGACTGCGATGACTCTGATGTCATTCACTCTGGCTCCCGTCACTTGCAGACTCGTCTTCCACATACCAACATCAACACCACAAGTAAAAATGGACGACAGTGAATGACACAATACGGTTTTACACTTTATTCTCCACTCGCTGTTTCTTCAGCCGGTACATGAGAAAGGACATGTCTAGAGAAATGAATGTTTTACTCAAATGTACAAAGATATTGATCGACTTTACCTTTCGGCCGAAAACAACCTCTACTACCACAGGAAAAAAACAAACACAACGTTCTCCATACGAGCTAACACACAACATCAGCCAGCTGCCAGGATTTCTGCCAGTCCCTTGCTGTCTGGCCAAGTAGGCGTTGAGAAACTCTGCAGACATATCAGACTCAAACACATTCTGGATCCAACAGAGACTGCTCCGTTCTCCATGCCTTGAGTTTCTTGGCCCAGACGAGACTGTCCACATGCCTCTTTCTAAGGCATTATATAATCTTCTAACGCCCACATTACAATTACGACTTTTTCGTGTTCTCAGATTCACAGGGGTTCCATTTGGCCAACACTTTCTCCATGACTCATGGCTCTGCCCTTTTTATATTTAAATATTTTATTCATATTTATTAGCTGACATCATTCTGTCTGGAACATAACTTATCAAGGAGAAAATGGCTCACTATGGTTGACCATGGAAAATGGCTCACTATGGTTGACCATGGAAAATGTTTCATGCTAAATCATCACAGCATAATTTGTGTATGTTCTTCATGAATGTAAAACTCAGGTCTTTGTCCTGGCATTATGCAGTACCGGCACCTTTGTTGTCTACATGCTGTGGTTAGTGACGCTTCTAGTGAGTAATGTCAGGGAGATAGGACAGTATGCAGGGAGGTTGGATAAGATGTAGGCACTGAGGTTGGAAAATATGTAGGTAGGTAGTTTTATATGAGTGTGTTTATATATATATATATAATGTGGGTCTAGCTAGTCATACCTGTCATTGCCGCAGTCTGTAATGAGTCCCACATTTCCTCAT